TGGAAATGTGATACAAACGTTTTTTACATCTTTTTGTCATAAATTTAAAGTTTCCGTTTAAGTATAACTTAAACCTAATGATTATAAATTACTGGTTTTATCTAATGTTTATAAATTTTTCAAATACCAGTATTAAAATTGACTTTAACTGTTTTTGTAGGTACAATAAAGAACTTTAAAGTTTGAAATGAGGTTCGAAAAATCTATAAAAACTCTTTCAAATCTTCTTTCACCTTCATAGCAAACTAGCTGTTTTCCTGCAACTTCGTCCACATATATAACCTATGTTATGATATAGCTTCCCGTAAGTGAAAAAATCTTTATGAACGGATCAGTATTTCCGAAGATCACCCTCTACAACAAACAAGTAAAGTTAAAACGTTTACTTCTTTATAATATTAATATTGATACTGGTAATATCTATGGACTAGTCTCATAAATCATTCAAAAGGGAATAAAAAATCAAAACCTAATTGTTAGGGAACGGTAGTGTAGGATACCACTTCCGATTAATCTCTGGTAACATCTTATTTTCCAATTATTTATATGGAATGAGGCTGTAGTTTCTTTACGAAATAAATAAATTGAATACTGCCATAAGTCCTTATTGTGGTGAATATACCATGACATGACATTAAACTGTCTATTAAATCTCTTTGTATAAATCAGCAAGTACTATACTTCAATTAAGCCAAAAAGCTAGTTTGAATCTCATTTCAAACTTTTCCCTCAACATTCTGAAAATAAATCACTTATATATTAAGTGAAGTTAAAATGAATTTGGATTTAATTTCAGAATAATTATTTGAGGTTATAAGTAGATTAAAGAGATTTAGTAATAATATTCAATTGGTTATTCAACAAAAAAATTGATAACGATAAATTTTAAGCAACAGTTAGTGAAATTACTTTCATTCGGATAATAAATTCACAGGATCGTCTTTATTGTCTGAATTACACAGAAAACCGATCTGAATATTTTATTACATGTTACTAATGTATGATTTTTATTTAGGTAATATTCGGGCTTATATTGTTAATCCCGTAGTAATAACGCTTCATTATAATTTAAGTACCTTTTAGTCTTAGATACAGGATCGAGAAACAACGTTATCAAATAAAATAGTTAAACAAGGATTTAATGACTTCGCCAATTATTATGTAATGCCATCTCTCAATATTAGGAAGTATAGCTAATGGAAATTATAAATAAAATAAATCTAGATTCATTATTGTGGGCATTAGCAGGCGACTACACGGATAAACGACCATTTACTTACAGATATATTTATATCTGTCCATTACTATTCTTCAAAGCCCGATGAAAATGTGCAGGTATTCTCCGAAAGGTAATGATAAGCTGGTTGATGATTTGTGTGATTAGCAAATGCAGTCTGAGCACCGTGAGCACTTATTAGGATTAATTGATACTGAAGTTCGAATAATACACGATAAATCAAATGCCACGATTTAAAATCAAATATGGCGTACGCGAAAATATTGACGATTTATCATATATAAAACAACTGCTATGATATTTGTTTAAAAAAAAGAGTTGGATCGGAATATGATAGGCGGAGTACCATAAACGCTAATGAACGAACTTTTTCCGTAAAAAAATGCTTTAAACATATTTTTGATATAAGCTTATTACGCTGGGAATATTACGCACATCCCGCTACTATATGTGTTCATGAACGAACGAAACGCAACTTGCAAGAAAAAGACGTTGTAATTTTTTTGAAACAATTTATACTTTTTTCTTTTTAAAACGGTTTTTCAACGACACACATCTTTTATTTATCGCTCCCAAAAATTACGTAAAATTTCCAATAGCTAAAGCCACGAATAATCAAAACCAAGTACCGGTGGTCGCTATCCGGCACAATATGTATTAATAATTTCATACTAGCTAAACCCTCAATTTAAGAGTTACTAAAAGTCCGCCGAACATGACATTAAATCATTAGTGAACTAAACGAATTACTTTAAGTTGTACTTTAAAATCAGAAAGTAAATAATATTTTGAATCTCGACAAAAAGTACGAAATTACGTCTAAAAGTCAATAATAATTAATTATATATTTGTTCTCATTATATAAGTTTTATAATATTTGAGTTTGAATATGAAAGATCAGTGATTTTGTCTACTCAATTAATAAAAGTAAAATTCTGTGCCTTAATAACGCGAACTCTTTATCAGTGTTATTAATAAAGCTTAGGTTTAGCATTGGAGTAAATTTACGCTGAGACTGCACTTAATATTAGACAAAATTCACATTATTAGACAGATATTTAGCAAAGGTTAACCTAGTACGAGGTTCTACCGGAGTAATATTTACTACTAGAAGATAGTAAGTAGGTTTGCTTATGCTCCGAATAATATGTATTTGTACTAAAATTACATTTCTAGCATAAATTTACTCTGAAGCTAAACCTTTCTTTTATTAATAGCACTGTATAGGTTTGAAGTTAATGATGTATATAACTTAAATCAAAGCAATTATTTCGGATTCAAAAACCTTTTTTCAATGGTCAATTAAAAGGTAGCTGGTGTCTGGATTTAAGCACAGAACAGATAAAAAAGTGAGAATAATAACGTACTCACATTAGTACTAGGACTGCGAGTGCCAGATATCATACAGACGTAAAACTTCACCTATTCAGCTCAAATATAATAAAAATCTGCACAATTACTTTTGTTAGTTCTAAATAATTTATTTTGTGCGCGGACATTAAATAAGTTAATATGCAAACATTTTAAATACATGTTTTATTACATAAAAATGTTATTTCACGACGTAATAAAAAATATAATGCAAAGAATTTTACGCTTGTGTCAACACTGAAATAGTGAAGTGCCCTGTGATTCACAATTTGATATCGATAGTCAGAAAATCATTAATATATTGGGTTAATATAATAAAATAATTTATTAATTTATCATTTCGCAACTGCCACGAAAAAAAAACTCCAATGAAAATAAATACCATATGTATGTGATCACTTCACAATGTATGTAATCAACCTTCACTTGATACGGCTCGATCAATTAGACCAATTCCTGTCTTGCTAAAGTAGTAATGTAACTGCGATTTTTGTCAGTTTTAATCAGAAGTAGGTTAGTAGAAGGGAGTCACATATCAAGGGCAGGTGACAGTGATGACAATTTGGCCCTTTGGGGGCTAGATTTTTATAATTTTAAAAAGCATAGTTTTATTTTTTGACACCTAGTTATACTTTTTTTTTGTATATTTAATCATAATTATTATTTTTACTAACTTTATATTATATGAAGCACAATATATTAAGAATGGAAAATAATAACTAAGAAGTCTCATTGAAACTATATTTCAATAATATCCCAATATAACATTTAATTTGACAATCTAATCAGAAAATTAGATGTAATACATAATATTTCATCCCAAATATGTAAGTAATTTATCATATTATTTTAATTATCATTTAATATTAATAAAATCATTTCCAGAAAAATGTGTTGAACAAATGCAACTAGTTTTAGAAGGAAACCATTGACCATTTCTACCACTTGCGTCAATCCACTTTTCTTTTAGCATTATGTTAATAACTAACACAATCTCCCGAAAAAAAAATTGTGATTATATGTCGATATACTGTTATAAAACCAATATTTTTTACTTACCCATGAAATGAAATTTCTCCTTTTTTCAGACTTACATTTTCACTATGCAAACAACACGTAATAACGGCATAATTCGGCATATTTTCGTATTTTGCGACGCACCATAGACCACTATGACATTGTGCAAATACTAAACTGGAAATTTGAATAACGTGACGTTCATATGACCGTTTGGGCATATGGATGGTCGCACGACTCCGTCCACTTAATCGTTCTACCTTTTTATCTTTTCTGTGGTTTAAAAAAACACTACGAGCTCATAGAATAGCCTAGTTTATATTTGAGTTCCAGACAGAAAATATTCATTCTTTGTTTTCTTTTCATCAAAAATAAAGGTTTCTTGTTATTTATTTAAAATTTAATTGTCACACAAAATCCCCATTTACAATCAAATAAATGAGAATCATAACCTTGCACAGTCAAGAATACAGAAGCATCTCTTGATTACATTATTTAATTATTCATTTACGGCTGCCTGATTATGATTGGATTAAAGCAAATGTTACATGTAACATACGATTCAGTTCGCTTGACTGCATTAACCGATTAAATTAAAAATACATTAAGTGTTATACAAACGACCTGATTATAATGACTATCTCGAATAGTACATTATTATAGGATTGTATTACATGAATTTGAATATATTTTATGCATTTATACAAGCTTATTTTAAAGCAACAGAGCACCATTAATCGTCTACTGCTGATAATGTCTAGGCGTTTGAGCAAATCGGTGCCGATTTCTCTTTAGTCCCAATACCTTCATTTACGACCCCATTTTGTGTAATATCGGATCGTTAATAAGATGCTCGATTTAACGGATTTTGTAAGGTTTTGTCAAGCACATTGTCAGCAATGGCAAAATCCAAAAACCCTGCAATATTGGATATGGATTGTTCTCAATTTTACGTTATTTCTGAAAACAGATCTTGAAACGATTTTTTATTGTTTCATGCAAAATTTATAACGACGCGATGATTAATATTAAGCGTTAAAATATGTAAAACATTTCCCATATTTCTGGATTTGATATAGGTAAAGTGTCGTATTAAGCGTATTCAACTTGATCGTATTAGGCACGTTTTGTAAGATGAAAAAAGACGGCGTATAAACTCTACAACCTTTTAATATAGACAAAGTTGTTTTGTTAACGAATATCAATGAATTTCGTAAAATTAATAATGTAATGTTATAATTATTTCATAGTGAGACATTTTATAAAAGAAGGTCACCATTTTCAGTCATAACAACCGTGACTGTTGCCAAAAGTCTAGTAGTTTCACAAAAATCTTACGACGAAAGAATATTATAGGTATGAATTTTATCCTCAGGTATTATACACGAGAATAGCTGTAGGCCTGTGGCAGAGTTCGCAGAGTCTACAACATCTTGGCAGAGTCCAGTGTTGCGCAACGCAATGTCCACGCGTGGAGAAACCACCCGAATTCGAACCTCAGCGCACTTTTGTTGGTACTACAGAAACAAAGGTAATAATATCAGTAAGTGAACATTATAATTTAAGCATAAATGAATATTTGTCATAACATACTGACTAATTTAGAAACAATAAGTTAGCCTAAACTATAGGTTGAGAGATTTGAAATATGGAGGGTAGGTAGAATTCCACCCTAAAGAGGGTAAATGGGATAAAACGACTGTACCTTTGCAATTTCTTTGTGATTTTAATAGGTGGTAAAAAGTTAAGAAATAAAATTAATTAAGTGCAACTTAATTCGAATACTTTAACTTCGTTAACATGATTGCACTTAAACATTATTGTATACCTTTTCAATTAAATCGTCTAAGCTTTTTCTTAAAGGAAATTATTTCTTTTGCAATCTTATTATAGGTTTATTTCTTAAATTATTCAAATTGAGAGGGTCTTAGAAGTCGGCCGATACCGCGTTGATTCAATTTTCTCGTTGCTGCCGGAACATATAACGCCCTATTTTGTACCTTCGAGAGTATACGCATATAAATAAAGATAATGTTTTATTTATTTCTGATTCATCTTTTAAATAACTAATAATAACTTTCATTGTTTCGTTGTGTCTAGTGTTTTACGAAAGAACACCGATCTTGTTCAATAGATATTCCAAATATCTACTGAGTTTTATTTTTATAAGATTTCAAAACATGTTTTCATCCTTTAACAACATTCTTAATATAAATTCGCATATAATTGTACAAGCTATTTGATTGGATCCACTCGTAACAAATCAGTGGTAATATTGAATGTTACTTTAATCATAAATTGAAAAATATTTTTTCAATAACATTGGCGATTACCGAAAGTTTTATTTGTTTAATTAAAAACACGTCGACAAAAAACGTCATGTGTTGGATAAGTTCATTATATGTTTTCGTTGTAATTGAGGCTGGGCGAAAAAAATCTACGAGTACCTTGAATGCCGTTGGTCCAACTCGAGATAATAGTAAATTTTTCCGTTTCTTTTGTATCGTATCGGAAACGTCATCTAAGCCATGTTGTGATAATTCTATTTCAAATCTTTGAAGATTCTTCCGTTGCTGGGCTAAATAGATCAAATTGAAAACGTTCCATTGAACTCGTCGCCATTTATGTTGGATAAATAAGAAAATATTTTAAATTAAATAAGATTGTATTTTCCATGTCATCGGTAACAAGGATAACATTGTCATAGCAACACACTTAGACAGCATCATAGTATAGAATATGGCATAGATTATACTACACCATGTTTGTTTACCTCTTGGATAAATGTGATTATAGGCCTACAAACAAGTATTTCTAGAATAGATTGTGTGTTTCTAGCAATAACTAGCGGTATTCATTATATCTGATTAAATGTTAAATAAGATTATATTTCATTACTTATAATAAATTAAGTTAATTATATCGTTCTGAAAACACACCGAATTTTGCTATATAAAAAAAGAGGAATTGATGGTCTATTGAGATCTCTCTCTTTTTTAACGTATATACATTTCACTATTTGATTTTCCACTTACGGGCAGTCATTTGTTTTCTCTAGTCAGCTATAACTCGAAGGTGCTATTAGGCCATATTGCTATTAGGCACGTTTTTCCTTTTTGCCATAAAGATCTATGTAAATGAAGAGATTTTTACTAAAGATCGACTTTGGAAAATATTATGATCTAATAGAGATATTTTTGTAGAAGTGGTTTTCTTGTGTACTTAAAATATTAAATGAAGCAATGATTTGACTTGGCTCATACAAATAGTGAGGTTCACATATATTATTATTATTATTCTGAGATTGAAATAGATCGCATGTGTACTACGTGTATTGATTATATATACCTGTTCTACGTGGGTGTATAGGAATTATTGCGTAGAAGATGAATATAAACCGAGCGAGGAATGATATGAACGTAAAAGGGTGAACGTTAGTGCACGTTTAGACGAGGCGAAAGCTGTCTTAGGGTCGTTAATAGCGCGTACTGGTTTTCACATCAACTTTCAACTTTGTAGACTTGGAAACAACACTCAAATCTTCTCGACTACGGAACTGCGTGACAGCCTCGCACTTTCTAAGTTTCTGCTGGGTTACCATTACGAGTCGGGCGAGTCGTTATTTGAATCATCAGCAGCCCTTTTATCTTCCCATTGCAGAGGCTCAGGCCTTCCTTATGGATTGTTAAGGAGGTTAGACCGTGAGCCTACACACTGGCTCAATGTGGACTGGATGGTATTAACGATTGCAAATGCAATCGGGACCAACGGCTTAATGTCCCTTTCTAAGCAAGGAGTAGCTCGATATAATATTTTTATGGTCACCCATTCCGTGACCAACCCTTGCAAAAGTTGCTTAACAAAGTGATTTGAATGTTGTGACCTAATCACCAAAGCCAAAACTTGGTACCTATGATCCACCGCGCGGTGACCTTCACTAATTTTCGCCTCGTCTAAGCGCGGCCTTACGGTTCAGGCACGAGAGAAATTAAGACAAATGGCAACGCAATAACACGCAGTTCCTATATATTGTAAGTAACAGGAACATTATGTTAAATCTATGTGTTCGTAATTTAATATTTTTTTGAGTGCCTGCTGACTATGATTTAATAACAACATTATATAATGCTCAGAATACAAAATTAAGTAGCTAAAATACTTGTCGCATAGCAATCTGAAACATTCTAACTAATACAACACCCAGACCCGCCCACATTTATTTACCCAACCAGGAATCGAAGTCACTGGGCCACGGAGGTCATCATTGGTGATTCCATTTTTTTTTTAATATGTACGATTAATGTATCTGATCAAAAATTGTTTATAATATTGTATTGGTATTATGTGGCAGCTGACAGATGATATTGGAACAAATAACCATAATAAAAATAAATTTTGTTTTTTTTTTCTTTTGCAGAAAATGTTGAAGCGCTGTATGAAGATCAATGAGGCAATGAAGAATGTCCGTAATACAGAGTCTCGCGACTGCCACCATCTAAGCCATTTGTCGCGCAACGTTCTCCGAGCGCGCCGCGGTGTTGTACGTATGCTGATCGTCGTTGTGCTCACATTCGCGATCTGCAACCTGCCATTCCACGCACGCAAGATGTGGCAGTACTGGTCGAGCGGTTACGAAGGCACCAGCGATTTCAGCACTTTACTCACGCCTCTTACCTTTCTGATCACCTACTTCAACTCAGGCATCAATCCACTTTTATACGCTTTCTTATCGAAAAATTTCCGGAAAGGCATGAGGGAACTCCTCTTCTGCAATTTTCATGGCAAGAGAAAAAGTGAGAACATGATAATTCTGAACTCTGTCGGTGTTGGATTACGGCGAAGCTCGACCAGGTCCACTCGGGCTAACTGCAGCACTGTCACAATGGCACCCAATGGGGACTCATGAAATTTGCGTCGCCGACGTGTGCTTTATAAAATAGAGAACACTGATATTTCCTGATTAACGGAGAGCACAGACGAAGTGACTGACAGCAGCGGTCTATATACTATATCAACTATATCCAAAAAAGACTTATACGATTAAAAAAGTGAGCAACTCAAATAAATTGTGAAAAATAAAATAAAGTTCGAAGTGCGAGGTGATCTCATGAGCTTAGACTTTCTGAAGTTATAAAACAATATCAGTAGCGAAATTCTTTTTATATATATAAAAGAAATAATTATTAATTTCGGATCTGTGTACAATAATTAAGTTATGTGTAAAGAATGAGTGTTAAGATTTAAGGGACTTCTCGAATCATTGTTTGTTTATCATATGGTACAGTCAACGGTACATCAGGTTATCGGAATTTATCATTTTTCTCCGATTTATCATAAACCTTAATGGTGAAATCGAAATGACATTTTGTAGTAACTTGAGGTGCTTGCTGTCTGTACATAAATAACAGGCGCCAAAATACAAGGTATCTGTAGTAAAATAAGATTAAATTAAGATAAAAATAAGCGACAGAAGGTAATTAATCATTCATATAGCTTATGAATATGCGGCCACTAATGATTGCCACCTTTCGCAAACGCACCTTTACTTACTGATTCCGTTCAAATTTGATAGTAATCGCTACAATAGTCCGATCGCCAAAAAGAGCACAAACACATTGTTACTACACCCACACAGGTGTATCTAGCCAGTTTTGTTAAATTATAGAAAATTTAACAAATTCTATCTGTTTGGGGACTGGACTTTAGTCATCATGTTTTGTCACTACCCTCGCGCGTACGTTGCATTAGATTACAGTTTTTTACGATGGTATTAAATTTCAATTACTGCTATATCTTCACGAAAATGAACGGAATTCAAAGAAAGCAGTGGTGAGTGATAGTGACTTGTCTGAATCACTAGTGGTCGCAATTAGCGGTTAAATGTGCGATTCCGAGTAAGATTAAATAAAAAATAATTATAAAAATAGATTCAATGCTACCTTATAAAAGAAGCAAAAAATCTATGAATGGATTTGTCTGGATAATTTGAAATAAATAAATGGATTTTTCACCATTAGTTTTAACTTTTTAGGAGGATTAAAGTATATTAGTGTCCCTAATTTCCGATATTCTCTACTCAAAATGCCTCAAAAGTTGCGTTATTAGATGCAGATAACCATAAAAATAATAAAAAAATATTAAAGGATATCTTGAGGGCTCTACTAGCATCTTTATTTAAAAAAATATTAATACTATTTTATATACATTACTCCCATTTCTTGTTTTTTATTTTATTTATAGTGAAGCCCTAAATTACGATTTGCACGTAACGACAGGATGTTTTCAGTTAGGAATTGGCTTAGATCGAACTGACAAAATTCGTGTTTTGACTTGTTTTTCTCAAATTCTCTACTTCTACGGTGAGGCAGTTCGTCT